ACTTAGGTCACTGTACTCACACAACTCCGATCGTGTAAGGGTTTACAACAACCTAAGTAGGTCGTTCGTCACCAGCAGCGGCGCCCGTCAAGGATGCTCCCTTTCGCCGTTGATGTTCAATTCCATCGTAGACGAAATACTGGAGAACGCACTAAGTGGACTCAAAAACGTAGGTATTGAATGGGCGGCAATGGAAAATCTTTGCGATTTGGAGTACGCCGATGACATCGTCTGTCGGTTCGAATGTATGGAGGACGCGCAAAGCGCACTTGATAGATTAACAAGTGCAGTAGCCAGATTTCGTATGTGCTTTGCACCTTCAAAGTGCAGTGATGCTGCAGGTCAGGATTTAGTTATGGTGGATTACTTTTCCTATTTAGGTAGTTGCATGACCAATGACGGTAGTGCAGCAAAGAAGATAACCGCCCGCATTTCCAAGGCTCGAACAGCATACGCAGGACTGAAACACCTTTGGCGTAGACATGACGTTTCACTGAATTTGAAAGGTCGCGTATATTGTACTAGCGTTCGTTCAGTCCCTGAATTTGCGAGTAAAAGATATCGGTCGACTAGAAGTTTTCGATTATCAGTGTTTACGTAGTTTAGCCCACGTTGGATGAAGCAAACGGGTTTGCTGGCACACCGAATTCAGATTAGTATACTTCGCTGGCTAGGACACTATTGCCAATGCCCAGCTACTGTCTACCACATCGCGCTTTATTTGCTATAACCGCTTCGGGCTGGAGGACAACATATGACGTGGAATTTAGGCATGAAGAAATGCACAGCAATTAGGTAGAGCAGGTGTTTCACGCCTTCTAGGTTCGGGTCCGAAAGACTCCACAACTGATACATTGAAGGATATGGCAGTTAACCGACAGCAGTGGCGTTCTTGTTGTCGTTCCTTATCAGGTCAGAATGCTTGAAACGATATGTATGCAGGGTTCGACTGTGTACTCCGTGCGCTGACCATAGAGGTTCACCTTATTCTCCCTACTTCGAAATAGGTCCAATCCCTGTCCACCTTAAATTTTACCACTAACCTTGCATGCATTGTGAGTTTGGCAGTGATCGGTGAAGTTTGCCTCACTGTATTTCGCTGTTCGGTGATGATGACTGCGAAACAAACAGAAACAGATTATTCCCGTTATTAACATATATATATATATATATATGCTTGCTCTCTTGCGGTCAGGTTCTTCTCAGAACCGAAGGCTCTGTGTGAGAGCCCTAATTGTTCTCATGCTTAGTGGTTGAACTACCTAGCAAGACGGGCCCGTAATGTCGCAATAAAACAAACTGAAATGAATTCCACACTGCTTTGACAGTCGCACAGGATAATCAGAACCATATTGTCCATCGGATCGAGTGGAGTCGGTCGTGATAAGTAGGATCCTGCTTAAATATAATCTCTTTCCTATCCAATCCTCTCGTTTTACCTCTTCTACTGATCAGTAACATTCCCCTATACAACTTATTCGTCACTTGCTATAGTTCATTGTCGGTAGCGCTGTAACTAGTTTACCACCAAATAGATCGCAGATTCTGAAACCCCACCAACCTCAATCTGGAGCTCTGATACAGTTGGTTTAACAAGCCTGTCTTGCGAATCGGAGACACGAAATTGGAATCCTAGTAGTTTTAGTAGATGTTGGTATCTACGACCTGGAAGAGTTACTCGCGGACGTTTCATAGCCAGTCTGGGTAACATCGTCAATGCAACTTCGGAGAAGAGCCAGTCTCTTCAATCCTATTGGTTAATTGCGACCATTTGCTGTTTCGTTGTCACGATCACCTCAATCGTCATTGATGGAAAATTCAAGACAAGACTACACGAACACACGCCGGTGGTCAAAGACACGAGAAGTCGCAAATCTCATTCCACATAGATGCATACAGAACTGGAAACCATTTAGCACTACCTAAGGAAACACTGGTGACCCACGACCGCCCCAACCAGAACCAATCCAAAACCATTTTGAAGCCGATTTGTGATTGCTCCAAGAAAGGCAATCGATCAATGAGTAAAAAGAGGGGTCACCGTGACGAAGCAGCCAATCAATGCACAGCATATGGTGGCAATTGAGCAATAAAATTTAAGGGATGCGAACAAGTAATATAAACCTCCGAACAGGAATATATAAGCCCAGTCACATTAAGGACTGGCGCTTCCCCAGAGTTGCACTGATGTTACCTGGCCTGGCGAAGAAACCTTTGTGGACAACACTTCCAGTTCACAGAACACACCAACATAGTCAAAGGCTGTTTCAACTGTTACGCACCATTCGAGTTCGTCAGCAAAACCATTCGCTATGAGTGTTCAAAACAAAGAACAACGGCTTCATCACTAGGCAGAGTATTTTAGTGAATACCTCGGTTGGACCGGTGCTAGTGCGGTAATTCCGGCGATTGCACAGAAAACTTTGTGGGCGATAACATGTGAGCCCCTATAGAAGTGTGAGGTTGTATTCAATCGCCGAAGAAAGGGAGGTCAGTTGGGCTTCTTCGCACTCATTTTAAGCTAACTCAATTACTTCACACTACTTGATGGGAAGAGTGTATCACTTTATCTTGGAGCAAATCATTGATAGTTCTGATCTTCAAGATGCGATCATGTAACGATTGCGTAGACCATGGAATAAATTTGGCACCATTGCATGTGTTAAGTTCTGTGATACTACACCGTCTGTCACTCTTGAGGGGCAGATGAATATTTACGAACAGTACGCAGGATTCCGAACAAGTACCGGTTGTATCGACCGATTCTTTACACGTTGCATCGAGTCCTCTACATACACCATACACATCTCCCAGTTCTTTGACCTCAAAGCAGAATTCGATATACTTGACGGTGAATCCCAAATGGATTCAGTTATTCGCAGTGGGATACCGCAGAAAAACGCAAACCTACTGTGATCGTTATACTCACATGCTTCTGGTAGTGTAAGCGAATTTTTCGAGACCAGCTCCAGCGTTTCTATTTTGACATTCCTGTTAAAATTTGTCAGAGGCGAGCACAGCGAATCTAAAATGTTGGTATTCAATGTGCACCTGAAGAAAATTTGTGCTATTTTGAGTACACCTACGGTATCGTTTGTCTGTTCGAATGCGCAAAAGGCTCTGGACAAACTTTCCTTCGGTGTAACTTCATTTGGTGTGCACCTTACACAGTGATGCTGCACGACTGTGTCATCTAATCCACCTGATATACTTGATGTTCTCCATTTTCTGTTCGACTCCACTTTCAACTTTCCTTTCTTCTCCTATTCTTTATCCAAATGGGCAGCCAAAAGACAGCAACCAAAACCGGCGAACGAATATGCGTGGTCAATGGTTGTACAAACTGAACTGACGTTCAAGAATTAGTTAAAGTGGACTGCTTCTTCTACTCCGGCATAGCAAAGGAGGAGAGCACTTACATTTCTAAGGTAGGATCAGCGTCCTCACTTTTCGCGCCGGTTTCGTGTTTCCTTGAAACTGAAAGATCGCATATACTGCGCTAATTCGCGGTTACTTTGGCCATATGGTTTCCAGACCCTAAATTTGCGCGTGTAAACAACACTGAGGTAGGCCAAAGAGAGTTCGGCAGTGGATTTGTATGGCTAAGCTTTGCTGGTTACGACAGATTTGGAGCGTGTTCGGCTATCGTCTACCGCATTATGCCTTGTACGCTGTTGTTGCTCTCTGTTGGAGGAAATCACACGGAGGTCAACAGATGATGTGGAAACGGGGCAGGAAGAAATGCAGGGAGCGACTAAGTCGAGCAGGTATTTCCAGTCTTCAAGGTTGGGGTCTAAAAGAATTCGTAACTGTTTGATTGGAGACACACGGCAGAGAACCGACAGCAGTGGCGCTCTTGTTATCACTTCCGATCAGATTCGAATGCTTCGCAGTACTGTACGAGATCTCTGCCTTGGCAAATGGAAACCTATTCAATTATCAGAGATGCATGGATCCTTGAGCTTTTACCCATAGCTATTGAATGGCGAATGAGCTCTCTTGGAAGGGAACCTGTAAACATGTTTTAACACAGCGCTGCCTTGCAGTTCGTACTTAGTTGGATAGAGGCTGGAGGTTCACTCCTAAAAACGTCGAGGGGGGGGCATAGGGACGTCTTCGTATGAAATGGTTTTCGGACGCCAGGATTTTCATCAGACCGGCCGAATTCTCTTTTCAAGGAAGTGGCTGCGGTGAATCAACAATCCAAGTGCAATCCAGCTTAGAGATCTGGGTCCCAAAAGTTGAAAAATCTACGATACAGAAGAGAGTGGTGTGGTTTTTTATTTGAGATCCGTCCAATAAAACGCGTAGACAGACATAATGATGGCATTATTTGTGAGAAATTTTGAAAAGGCAGCAAGTCAATAACACGAAATGAGCGAAAGAACATTTCTGATTGTTTTTTTGTTTTCTGTATGTGTAGAGTGGGAAAATATAAACATCCATAGATGGATGGGAGACCGGAGTAGTAAGTATCACAAAGCAACTTTGTAACTGCGCCAAGGTGAGATTTTGGCCATATCACCACAGACGTTGAGCAAACATTGAGCTTGATTACGTGACGCTGGTCGTAAGATCACCACTTCGCTCAGATGATAGGACAAAAGAGCATTGCCACCCAGGCTGGTAGTGTGCGCACCAACAACCGCCTGAACTTCGGTGAGGCTTGTGTGCAAAAAGCCGCATATCCCACCGTCCTTCAGAGACAGAAAAGAAGATGAACCGAGAGAATTGAAATTGATCAGACATTTTAAAATCAATTTAGAAGCATTAATGACTATATCTTTTCTTAAGGGTTATCGTAAAAGTTGTCTTCGAATCATACTANGCTTTTAATCACATTTATGATGTAAGATTAGATTGCATGAATTTCTAGCCGCTTGCATCCTGTAAGGAAACGGTACGATCAAACAAGTGAGCAAAGCTTTTCAGCACTATTTTACTTCCTTTGTTATTCACTGATTACACAAAGTACAATCCATTGTCAGGAATCGAATCCGCATTCCTACAGGGAATGCATGGTGGAATATAGAAATGAGATGGTGGTAAGGGGATTTGAACACACGACCTCCAGGTAGGGGAGCTGATGAACCTGATCATTGCCGCGATCTGTGAATGACCACTCACGTAAAAATCAATGCACTCAGCAGTATAAATGGAACAAAAGGTGTGATTAACGTTGTGCTTATTGTGAAGTGCTTGGATTTCCCTGAAGCAATACAGAATATATCCACTCATTCATCAAAACATCAAGTATTGGAATAAGGAAATACACACTGCCCATCATTAATTAAATACACGCATCCTGTGTTGGTGATGAACAGTAAGTAGATAAGAAACAAACACCGTAATCCAGAGCCCTGGGGTTTCGGGAGNCGGGAGGGCAAATCACATAAGGACTGGCGTGATGTGAACCGGAAGACTAACTGAACTAGTGTGCGGTGGAGGGATCCTAACCACGAGCGTTCCTGTCCGATCTAGCGTTTGTTCTTGGTAAACACAAACATTTGTTTTCCCTAAGATTGGACAGGTGATTTTTCGTGTTGATCATCTATTCTATTTCCGTCTGCGTTTCCGTTTGGTTGGTATTTGACAGTTATTCAGGTTTTTCGACCGCGACCTCAAGAGCACTTACAGTCGAAATGTGTTACAGTATTAACAATCCGAGTTTAAATTCCTTGCAAAAGCAAAAACGGTCCCAAACTGGAGAGAGGCGAATCGCTTTTTATTTTACACAAGACAAGACTGGAGGCATTACGCATATGGTCAACCTTGGGGATTTCAAACAATGCTTGATGTTGACAAAGTACTGAATTAG